CTTGGGGTTTAAGGAAAATACGGTCTTCGTCCAGAATTGCACGGTGTTGGTCTTGGGTTTCGGATGGGGGTCATGAAAAGGAAGAACCCTAAAGCCTAAACTACCCTAAACCCTAAACCCCTAAACCCCTAAAGCCCTAAATCCTAAACTCTAACGAGACATGCAGGATCTTCAGGGACCCGATCTCTCCACCCCAGAGAGCAGAATACCTCTCACTTCGGACATCTACCTTCGATCATACCGGTAAGGTCCCCGGTGATTTCGGGGATATTCCTGAACTCATAATCTAAAGGTGCACCATAACTTTGTTCAGGTATAGTCCTCCTTGGATATTGCTACAGAGGTCCCTATAAATTGCAGTTATGTTCTTGAATTCAGAAGACACAGATCCCTACGCTCTGGAGCTGTATTAAGGTATGATAGGAGGGTTGTATTATTCTTATTATCATTATTATCATTATTGTTATTGTTATTGTTATTGTTATTGTTACTATTGCTTTTGTTGTCATTATTGTTATTATTGCTACTCGTGTTATTGTTATTCTCCTTTCTCCTCAATATGATTATTAATTACTAGTATTATTGGTACTGTTATGGTTATCATTATTACTATTACTATAATTATTGTTCTTACGATTATTATTATGGTTATTATGATTAGTATTATTATTATTATTATTATTGGTACCGTTATTGTTATTCTTATTGCCATTCATATCATTATTGCTCTTACTGATCATATTGGTTTCTTATTACTATTATGACTGTGCTTCTCACTATTACTACTGTGCTTTTGGTTCTTATGGTTATTAAAATCATATTCTATATTGTAAGATCCATTCCTGAATTCGGGGTCTCGGCCTTCCGGGATGACTCACATGAGGCCGGCGAAAGCCTACTACGAGGAGGAGGAGGACCCAGAGCTGCAGCCGCATCCTGAGTTAGTATCATATTATCTTGTGTTTCAGTAGTTTAGTATATTATTCGAAGTCTTTATGATATTATTTGATCTTGCATTACGCTGTTATGCATATTTCGTCATCTTACATCATACCAGATTGCATTGTAGTACGTTGTATTTTCCTGGATCGTAATGCATTGTACTGTAGTATACTGTGTGATACTGTGCCTGTTGCACTACATTTCATTGGCTGGCATTGCCCAACGTTTCGAAGCGCGGCGTATGCCGAAGTCTGAGTGTCCGTACAGAGAAGTCGCAGGGGACACTCTTCTCGGAAACAGCCCCTCGCAGATCCAGGAAGCATGACTCAAGGTTGTCGAGGCTTGTGCGAGTAGACGAGTGCCGATAACTTCACTATCCCACACCTGGAGAACCTTCCCACAGACTCCAAAATCATACTCAGCATCCGTCTACACTTGAAGGTATATAGCTTAGTTAGGCAACGCAGAGCCTGAGCTCTTCTGCTCAATTCTGAGTCAGTTTAGCTTCAGGCACATTTAATGCCGTTCGGCATCTCCAACTTCTTGAACCGCCACATGGTTTGATGGAACTTCAACGAATCATCCCGCAGCAACTGTTGAGCTGAGGTGCTACATCTGGGACCGGAGGACCCAACAGCCACGACAGCGGGGCATCCAGTTCGCTACAGGCAGAAGGGTTGCTAGCAAGCGGGCTTTGAGCTTGATGTTGGTGAGTTTGAGGAGCTTGTTGTGGATTGTTGTAGAGGTGAGCAGGAGCCCTGTTTGATACTTCATGTGTTTCTTCGGGTCCCTCTTTCGAGCGACTAGACGGCCCTAGAAGGCCAAAACCCTCTACAACCCCAAACCCTCGTCTTCAGTGCCCCCCACATCAGCCCAGAATAGCGCCACGACGCCAGGCCCGGCGGCTCCCAAGGCGGTGCCGCCTCAGCGCCAACGCAGCCTTCTGAATCAGGCACCCTTTCTATTTTTTTATACAGGTCTATTATGTTTCTTATGTATCATAGCAAGATACAGTAGAATGTACACAAGTATCTTAGTTGCCTGCTTAGCATCATTTTCTACCATGTTATATTGTGCTGTTCTGTTATGCTGAGTTCTAGCGGCTGACCTGTCACATGCAACATCACTGCAGCTGCTGTTCATGCTGACCAATCTGAAGCCCTACGCAAAGCTCAGTGAACTCAGGGTCGAGATGGGTTACAGCCTGCTTGCTCAGCGATGTGAGATGGCCCACCCCCGTCAAGCCGAACACCAGAGCAGCAATTGGAACCGCATAGAGGAGCCGGTTCTGGGATCTGGGGTGAACATGACTGAGCAGGGTGTCCTGAGGATTGCCTCGAAATGCGGATGGATGAGCACATGGATGACCGAGGTAATTTCGGTCTATGCCAAGCGTAAAGCCAGAGCAAAGGCCTCGATCAAAACATGAGGACGTCTGATATTCCAATTTGTGACGTTGTTTTACATGTCGTCATGTTACATCATACTGTATTCCATTGCATGGCATTGCATGACATTTTACTGTATTGTATTGTATTGCATTTGTATTGCAATGATTTTTTTGAATTGCCTAGTAGAATCTATTCTAGTTTGTTCTGTTCTTGTCTATCCTGTTGGATTTTGCTGTAGAAGACGGTATGATATTACGTTATACTGTAGAATAGTGTATATCATACTATACTCTACTCTGCTCTGCTCAGCTCTGCATGCTCTGCGCGACTCTACTATGTTTTACTATATGCCGTACCACTTTTGTATCATACTACATCATACTGAGCTTTGTAACACCGTGGCATAGAAGCGAATCAGCTGATTTTTGTGGCGGGTCTGCAGCGGCTTTTTGTTCATGGATCTGTGTGAAGCCGGGATGTTGGAGTATACTTAAAGCGTTTTCCCACTTCTTAATGAGACTTGCTCGATCCTGCATTTGACGTTTGACTGTTTGACGGGAGGTGTCGCGTTTCGTGTTTGTTCATTCGGCCCTGCGCCCAGCCTGGGCGATTGTTTTTTTGGTTCTAGGAACAGAACACTCGAAGAGGGTAGACAGCCCCGGGATCGTCTCGGAGGTGATGGAGATGGGCTTCGATGAGGCCGCCGCAAACCGCGCGCTCACGAAGACAGGCAGGGCCCGGGTTTGGAGGCCGCAAAGCGAAGACCAGTCCCAATAAGGTATGATGTACTAGCATGATACCACCTTGCCGGAGTTGCCAGGTCATGTTAACCAGGGAGATGGCTCCAGGGCTTTCGCTCTATTATGCCATATTCACACATACTGTACTACCGAATATTAGAATATATGTCTATTGTTTCACATTCTAGTATTTCATACTATAACGTGATACTGTATTGTACTCGGTAAAGACAAATAAAGGATCGTGTTGACTCGATGGTTTTGCGCGCACAAGGGATTTGGCCACGGCCATCGACACTCGTGTGCAAGAACGGTGGCAGACCCTGAGTCTGCAAGGGAGTCGTGTGATCATAGGAAGTATTCGGTGGGGGCTCACTGCCGGTAGAATAAATATTTAGTATAGCATATTCTAGCTTTTTATAGTATAGTATATTATAGTACTATATGACATTAATATGATATCATATAATATGTGCAGGCGGACATTTCAATTCCATCCTGCCCAGGTTGGGCTGGAGTGCAGGAGGCCATGAACGTCCTCCTTGGGGCATGAGAGGCCGTTCAACTCTGTGCTGTTTGGGGACCTGCCGGCCGGCAGCCGTATCTGCTGCTTGGTCAGACCTTTCGCTTAGAGCATATGAAGGCCAGTGAAACAAGCGAATCGGGAAGCTGCAGCAACGGCCCGCACCGTCGTGACCATGTAAGTCTTGAGATAATACACAACGCACTGCGTCGGGTCCTTCAAAACGCCAATGCAGCAACTGCTGCGGTGGTGGGACGAAGATACCAATCACGTCAACGTCCAATGACACCCTGTGCCTTTTCAAGCACGCAGAAGCAATTCAGAGCTTGGATCTGCGTCAGGCGCTTGCGGCCTCTCAATGAGGTGCAAGAAGGATGCTGCACTCTGAGCCTAGAATCTCAGAAATTTCGGAGCACTGTGGAGCTCGGACAGGGGGTGGATCCTCAGGCCTAGGTCTGTCGTTTCAGCGTTGCAGGAGTGTGTGCACTGTTGTCTTGAGGAAGGGGGCTGCGAGGGTTTGCCCCATGAAAACTCCAGTAGCTAGTGCTGGAGCATAAGCTCGCCTTCACTCCTTTCCACCAATGGTAGGGCAGAGGGCCACTTAGCCCGGTGGTGCTCGGGACTTCTGCTGATCTCGTGCTAGCGCAGAGAGACTGGACCCATTCCGATGGAGGGTTGGTCAACACTGATAGAAGTCACGCGAACATCAGAAAGATGGCGGCACCATAAATGGCACCAGTGAAGACGATGCAGTTCGTACAAAACAGGGATGATGGTCGTCCCTGCTGTCGTCGTCGCTAATCGCAATAGCTCACCTGTCATCATAGTGGCAATAATGCTAACAGCGAGGTGTCCTGATGCTGCCGGTGCAGAACCTTTTGCAATTCTGGGGGGCTTCTCGAAACGTGGGGATGCAAGATGTTGGACTTAGACCGCAATGGGGATGATGTGCACCATACAGTTTTTGAGAAGCCATTGTGCCAGCCTGGCTCTTGCAATTTTCGCCTGCATCTGGCAAGGGTAGACAGACGCAAGAGCGTCTGGCTCACAGAAATGGACAGACCAGAACAGGAAACTCAACATGCTGCGTTAGGGCACGGGTTCAGGCAGACAAGGACTCCTCTTCGCTGAGCTGGAGCAGGTCTAGGGAGGGATCCGGAGAAGGAGAAGCGAAGAGCGTGATCGATCCCCGGCACTTCCAGCTTTCCGCTCGCTCTGCATGGGCTCAGCTTGCCAGCTTGGGACTGAAACCTTGGCCCACACCGTTCTCCCAGCCAGAGCCACAGAGCCCTGCCAGCGAGGCAGCACCTCAAGCTAAGCGCAGGACACGCCTCACACCTTGACATGAGTAGGACGCCCTCTCTGCACCCACTCAGAGTCTGACCGGGATTCCGGCCTGCTGCGATGACTGCGGCGCCGCTCCCGTCCGAGGACGCCAGTCCGGGCGTTGCGGTTGCAGCGCGTCGCATCCGTGAAACTCCGAGGAGCGCGACTCCGAGCATGAGGGCGTCGAGGCTCCGACAAGCGGTCGGTTCTCCTGTAGTCGCGCCTTGCTGTCTTGCGGCTGAGGAGATGACGGAGGCTGCAAAGAAAGCTGAGGGAAAGGAGGAGAAGGAGGAGAAAGAGGAGGAGGAGGAGATGACAAGCAGTCCCTCTTCACCTGAGCAGGAGGTGGGCGAGGAGCCCTGCCAGGTTGTGGAGCCCGAAGTCCCCGAGGAGGAACACGAGGAGGAAGAGGATGTCTTGGACTTGCAGGGCGACCACGAAGAGCAGGAGGATGCAGTTGAGGATGCAATTGAGGATGCAGTTGAAGATGCGGTTGAGGAGGCAGTTGAGGAGGCAGTTGAGGAGGCAGAGGAGGAGGCAGAGGAGGAGGCAGAAGAAGCGGAAAACCATGTGGATGCACCGCATGACGGTGACCGTGAAGCAGAGGCCAAAGAACCTGAGCAGGCGCCGGAGGAAGGTGATGCGGGTGATGTTCCTGCCGTAGATCAACAGGAGGATGAAGTAGCAGAAGAGGAAGAGCAGGAAGAGCAGGAAGAAGAGGAAGAAGAGGAAGAAGAGGAAGAACTTGAAGCTGAAGCTGAGGAATATGTCGAGGAAGATGCTCCAGGCACACCGCCACGAACTCCTTGTCACCACCAGGATTGCTGCTAGAAGCTGCAGGGAGTCTGGACTTGATTGGGTTATGCTGAGATCATCTTTCTGCCCGATCTTTCGCGACTTGTAGAATTCGGAATGTCCAGACGTCACGACGATGCTCCACCCAACGGACAGCCTGGCAGTTGTTCTCTGTTTTCAGTGCTTGCTTTCAACGTTGCTCTGGGGAGGTGAGGAGGAGGCGCAGCCCTCGGCAAGCGAGAGAGAGCGAGCGAGCAGGAATGAGGGGAGAGAGAGGGTAGAGATTTTAAGGCTGAAACGTGGCCTGCTCTACCATCTTCCAGGACGGGAGAGATGCCACTAAGATGTGTCGTAGGTTCTGGATCCAACACCGGCAGTCACTTGCAAGAGGATACATTCTTGTGCTGAGAGGCCGGCAGCCCCACGTCGCTGGACAGGCCGTGCAGCGCAGGACGGTCTCAGAATGTCCCGTTGCTTTTCGTACATAGGCCAGGCAGCCTGCGACTTGCAGCAGCCTGCGCAGCAAACGTGCTAACCGTCGCAGTGACAGAGTTCAAGCATGAACAGGACGGAACTGGCGAGAATTACAGTCGCAGTTGTAGCAAAAACAAAACGAGGCTTGGCTTAGCCCTAGGCCTCATGCGTGCAGCGGTTGTTGGTTCAGAGAGTTGTGACTGGTGCAAAGCCACGACCTCAGGGCGTACTGTCCTGTAACAAACGTGGGCTGTAATGACACAACCGGGGTACTGCTTTAACAATACTCATAGCAAACATCATCTATCATCTTTGTCGCTTCAGCAAGCCAGCCAGAAGCACTTTCCGTTTCCTGCTGTTCTGGGAGGGCTGCTGCTCTGCTTCGGGTCTAAGCACATGGGAAGTGCCGGTTGTTGCAAGGCCAAGGCCAGTGAGGGTTGTGGGCTTGCACTGACAGGAGCCAGTTTTGGACACGAACGAAGACGAAGAGGAGGAGATGGAGGAGGAGGAGGAGGAGGAGTGGTATGATGAGGAGATGGAGGAGGAAGTGGAGAATCTGAGGATGCAGATGAGGCCAGCAACCCGAGCTCCTCCATCTGCCTGCTGGGAGGGCTACTAGTATCTGCTTTCGGCTTAGCGATGGGACTGCAAGGCAGATGGAAGAGGAGAACGAGAGTCTACGAGACGAACTGAGCCAGGAGAAGACCAGGGTCTGGTGCTCAGTTTCCCCGAGCTCCGGGCCTTTTTTGAGCTTCATCCTTCAGTTTTCTTCTCCTACCTCTGCCCTTTGAACGAAGTGGACATCCCAACAGCACGTTTTCAGGTCGCACTCCCTGCTGGCCCAGCTTGAACCGACATTTAAGGCCCCAGCTGTCCCAGGTGAAGCAGCTTCAGAAGCTGCAAGTCGAAGCTGCTCAGGCCACTGCATTCGAGAGACTGTGCATTCCCCCTGGCATCCCAAGTCGTTCGGTCGGTAAACAATCCATGGCTGCATACTTAACAATTATTCCTACCCCACTGCGATTACGACTAGTGCTATTATTTCATTATTGCTGCTTTTATTAACGCAAGATGCGTGAGCTTTTGGGTTCAGCAGCTCCTGCCAGGCAGCCCACCGAGAGTTCGAGGCCAAGAAGCGTGAGGCAAGAGCCATGGCGTTTTACGTGAGCGCACGCCGAGATACTTGAGAGGTCTGAAAACTTTGCAGTAGCATCCCCTTACGGTCTCCCCTTACGGTCCCTTGATAATTGTTGTACTTCCCACACCTTACCAAAGCTGACATCTGCGCAAGAGCTTTGCAGGCTGCAGCATTGCGTGAGCTGGAAGAGGCGAAAGCGTATGTCTCCAAAAGGCCCGTGCATGGACTTCCAGGAGTTTTGCTGCTCGCAGCTGCTCCATTTCGAAGGTCTTCAAGCCACGCTAGAGTCAACTCGACAGATTTGTGCTAGTTGCCGTGGAAGGCACACCTTCGCCTTGAACGAGAAAGCCGAGCTGCCGAAGCCTCAGTGCTACTTCTTTGTGTCTTTTTTAAATTTGGGCTCCTCTAGACATTTCGGACGGCATGGCTGAAGGGGAAAAAAACTGCTCACCAAAAAGCCGGAACCTTTAAGTGTCCCGAAAGACCTATGGTTCATGTTCTCGCTACACCCTCAACCCCAAACCCCGGGTTGGTGGTAGGCGGATGCAGTCCCCTTTCTGCAAGGCCACACGCAGGAACACCCAATCCCTCAACCAGACATGGTAGGCTAGCTGAACTGGCAAAAAGGCATGAGGGTTCAGAAAGAAAAGAACCCGTAAGCGTCAGTATATTCTTTTACCTATGTCTTATCTTTGGCATGAAACATTGCCATAGGTCAGGGTGTGCTCGTCTACCTAATCTTCGTAGGAGTACCTTGAAGCTGTAAATTCTAAAAGAACATTACATTCGCAACCCAGAGACCAAAACGCCTACATCGTAATCACCACACGGAAGGCTCAAATCCATGACTACTGTCCCAAGCCTCTACCGAAAAACAATCCCAAACCCTAGAACCGAAATCTCAAACCCTTAACCCTCTTGTTGGCAGAACAAGAGCGAACCGTCACTCTTTTCCTTCCTTGGGCCATGAAAGTGCCTCCGATGCGAACACTCACGAGAGATCGCCGAGAAAGCCTGCACACAACACTCCTATAAAATCTCTCCAGATTTTAAAGTGTTGGCCACAGCCTCCATCATACATCTGCAAGCTTTGCTTGCAATCACCGCCATCGACTTTACAAGGAGTCGAACGAATCATGATAGCGGCGTGTCCACGTAGAGGTAGTCGAGGAGGCCGGGCTCAAAGGCGGACTGGGCAACATGTTCTTGTCCTTCAGCACGCTCAAGTACTTGGCCAAATCGGCCAGAGCTTCACCGCCGGTCTTGGCGCGGGGAATGCACCACTTGATGTAGGAAGTAGATTCGCGGTCGCGTAGCTCCACGAGGCCCTTGTAGCTCAAGTTCTTGCTCGCGTACTTGCCGAAGGCGATCTTGGTGCGGCCCCATTGGTCGAGGGAGTGCACATCGCGGGGAAGAACATTGCGGTCGACATCAGCACGAGGAGCAGCAGAAGGTCGTGGCTCATTCACCGGACGAGGTGGAGGTGGGCCACGAGGACGATCTGGGCTGGCTGCGGTCACGGAGGCCTCAGACCACGAGGGAGGATCACGAAGCATAGCGGGAGGAGTTCCTGGAGGAGCCGCCGAGGGTCCCGTAGAACGCTGCCGCTTCGAAGAATCGGCCATAGTGCCACCAGCCTTCTTGGCACGACGTGCCTGGAACTGGGCACACACTGTGTCCCACAAGTCCTCGTTGATGTACTTGGCGCGGCGGTCCTTGAAGGTCGCCACGGCCTCGGTCCACACATCATCTCCTTCGCCAAGCAACATTGCCTTGGTGAGGAGGTCGACGCATTGCTTCTTGTCCGTCTCGGAGAAGGCGATGAGCTCGGGGTAGTATCCGGAAGAAGAGGGAGCGCCATCGCTCACCAACACACGCTCCCAGCTGGAAGCACGGGATCCGGAGGCCATCTCGGTCGAAACAGAGATGCGGCAAAGACCGGGAGGTCACAGCACGTCACTACCACAAGCTCTTGGAGAGATACAGTCACGAACTTACATGCTCACAGACAGGTCGTGACAGGAAGAAAGTGTGCATACAATTGGCAATCGCTCACAGAGTCTGTACACCCAAGCATCGGCACTAGCTAACCTAACCCCGTTAGCAACCCTATAAGGCAGCGCGGTCCTTGCGCCGCTGTTTCTCATTGGCACGCCAGTCCAACACATGTTGCTCATCACTTATCTGGTACTGGCCCGTTCTGAGGCATGCCCTGAGCAGATCAATCGCTTCGATTGTCTCTTTTGTCAGGCCGTCGGCAATCATTCTATTTGTGGGAATCCACCGAAGGTTTGCATCAACACGGCCTAAGCTTTCGCGGACTATGACGACATCCAGGGCAGTTCTTTTATCATCTAGGGTCGGGGAGGACTTAGAGACTAGATGATCGTACAAGGACTTGCAGTCGGTGAGGGCCATACTGCAACGCCGGGATGCATACTGCCAACAATTGCGGAGATTGCATGGGCCGTCAAGTGCCTCAGAAAGCAACAAAAGAATCCATTCTAACATGCCAGTGGCGGTTGACATTGCCTGCGCCTCTGCACTAAGAGTGGAGTTAACAACCCTGGGGAGCCTATAACTACGCCAATAAGCCGGGGTCCACTGTTGGACAACACCATCATTCATATCCTTATGCGTGAAGCTCACTACAAAACCTGCTTGCGTGGCTCCGTCACGGCCATTGGCATAAGCTGCGTCGCTGTGGCACATCACAGCTAGCTGTTCAGGCGGTACTGCTCGAAACACTATTGGTAGCTGTGCATTCTGGCGTGCTCGGCGAACAGCGTTATTGGCAGCTACGGCATCTGAAACTAAAGGCTCGGGGAAAGACTGCTGAGAGAAGGACACTTGTGTTGACAGGTCCGGTCTGGACTGCGTCGCAAGCCAGTTCAAGCCGCCATTGATGGCGCGTAGGCACCGAACTTCATCCGTTGTCAGTGGAGCATCCTTCTGAAGGAGGCGGCTGCGGCTCAGCCGGAGAGGACGAAGTTTATCGACAAAGCTTTCTTGAGACATGGTGATGTCGAAGCTAACAGGGTCCTGTCGATACCGTGCTCCACAAAAGTCGCCATCTCCAATTCGCCACTTGCGGAATTCAAACTTCTTTCGGAGTGCTTCGATAGCCTGATTGTACTTATCACCTTCACCACCTGTGGCACTGTCATCAACATGCACGCCGTACACGCCTACCAATCTCCCTTGATCTCGCATGTAATACACACAAGGATCAAACCTGCTACGTTCAAACCCAACCTCCAAAAGAGCCTTGTTGAGGGTTTTCTGCCACGCCGAAGGGGCGTCGTTCAGTCCATAGACATGTCCCAGCACTTCGATAAGTGCATCAGAGGGCACACCGGGGATGCCTCCAGGTGGAAGTCTGGCGTACAAGGGTCTATAGGAAGCGGGGAGCTCGCCTGAAGAGAGAAAGGCACCCTTAATGTCACCCAACCGAAGAAGCCACTTATGGGAGGAGATAAGCTGAAAGAGAACCGAACGTCCCACCTGTGACAACGTGGGAGACTGCAGGTCGCCCGCTACAGCCTTCTTAGCAAGGTCGGGATCTAGGTGTCCCTGGAGACACCACCGAGCTTTGATGCGAGCAGGTGCATCATCTTCTTGTTTGACAGTCACTACATATCGGCTACCCATGATGCGATCGGAGAACTTGCGACGCACCTTCTCAGCTTCACGCCCAAGCACAAGACGGGTGGCGTTGCGGCTCAAGATTGTATTCCACTCTACGGTCTTAGCTTCATCTACCTGGGTCTGAAGTTCAAGAGGGTTACCGGTGGCGGGAACCTCCTTGGACTGCCGCTTGTTGAGTGCTTGGGCCATTAGGGTCTCTATGCTTTGGGACGGGTCAGCAACCTGAACTAGAAGGGCTTCTACAGCTAAGTTTTCATCATCATCGGGCTGACCCTCGGGAGCGTTCTCAGTCGCTCTGCGGCTGCTTTCTCTCACTGCGGGCTCAGCAGAAGCCTCGCGTTTCACTCCTCGCGCAGGTGGTGCTTCAGGACTATTGGGATTTACGGGACTACCGGGCATTGTGGCTTGCATTGTCTGTGACACTAGTTCGGGGATGACCTCTTGCATCAGCTCTGAAAAATCGTCCTGCAACATAGCGCTCGGCCGGTGCAGCTGCTCCGGTGAGGTCTTCCTGGTCACTCGACGCACAGGCCCGTAGGCATCAGGACTTGGCGTCTCAGGTGGGTCTTTGGGCTTGAAGGGCTGCGAGCCCCGGCCAACATTTAGGTGATCCCGCGAAGAACCCTGACCCCTATCTACTTCGACCCCGAAACCCGGAACAACAGGTGCCGACGGAACCGACAAAGGCCCCTGTGCAGAGCCTGGAGCGGCACTTCCAGCAGACGGTGCTCCAGCCGACAAGGCAGGAGCCTGTGGCACCGCACTGGCCTGCATGGACGCTGGTTGTTCTTGTTCGGCAAGGGGCGGTTTATCTAGGGGAACGAGGTCCATATACTGTCGGCTCGACAAGGCATTAGTGTCTATCAGGTGTTTGAGTCCTAGCAGCTCAGCATTAGGGGTAGACACCAGGGCTTGTTCCTCCGAAGTGGCCTTACGGACTTGTTCGGGGGCACATCGAAACACCTGACGCTTATGAACCACAACTAAGTTCTTACCAACCTGCCCTAACACCACGGCTGGACCATACCAGCGGCCTCCTCTCTCAATGGTCCCTTCGTGACTCTTCTGAGTGCGCCAATACGCAACCAAGGACCCAGGTGCATGCTGTTCCAACACCCTTGGCCTGGCTGCCAGGCTCAATCGGAGAGCCTTGTCGTCTTGCAGAGCGACCACCGCCTGTCGGGCGGCTTGGCGAATGGCCACACTCCTGGCCACGGCGTCTTCATGCAAGGAGGCTGTGGCAGGTATCACATCTAAGGGCTCGTCGAGCAGATTGCTTGGCACCCTGGGATTACGACCGAAAACGAACTGTGATGGCGTCATGCCATACACTTGAATCAGCTCATTCTTACAATGGGCGCCGACAACACACTCAACCCACGTCGGGCGATCATGTGGCGCGCACTCAGCAATAACCTTCTGAAGAACACGACCAAACCAACCGCCATGGACCTCTACCTTGCCCAATTGCCAATGTGCCTCTGCAGCGGTAGCTGCCACCACTGAGCCCGCTAGCTCCTGTGGTACAGTGAGTGCTTCACTGAGGTTGGTTTGCGCAGGGTCAACGACGATTTCATGGGGCACACCTGCCCACGAGACCCATCTCTCCTGGAAGGCCTGCCGAAGAGTTTCGCCGGTTTCCCGGCCCGGCAGCGGCACCATGATCTGGAACGACGAAGCATAATCTACAATGTTGAGTGCTGGTATCTTCTGATTGGGAAGCCACCCGGGCAGGTACTTGACATCTAGCCCGACACGCCGGTTAAACTCAGTGACCCGGTGTGTCTGCGCCAACGGTGCTGGAGTTGGCTGCTTCTGCGCTGCGCAGAGATCGCACGACAACTCTCGAGCCAAGTCAAGTGCAACTTGTGAGGCGCCACCGTGCTTGAGAACTCGAACCAACACAGGATTGGGAGGATGCCCCAAGTTCGCATGCAGTTTGCGCAAGCTCGCCAACATTTGC